TCATATTAATATCAATAGCTTCCCAACTCTCCTTTATCCAGGTAGCTACAAGAGAATAAGAAGGTCTTTTGATTTTTTCCGATGGAGTGTATTCTTTAATTACTTCACTCATCCAATGGTTATATTGATTTCTAACCTTTGCTTTAAAAGGTTTATTCAAGGAAACATCAAGTGGTTGTAATTTGGAAGTTAGTCCACCTGGAATGATTGCTATGTTAGTTTTTTCTTCAAAAAACCATTTCTTTACAACTTCAGTTTTATGAGCGAAAAATGAATCTAATACCAAGAGAGATCTTAGATTGCTACCTCTTTGTGAACGTTTTGACCAAATATTTTCAGTTCACCATATTATTTCTTTTTCATTCATCCATCCTTGTAAATTTGCACGAATTACTACAACCTTCAGGAAATTCTTCACAGGGAATCTTTTTGAGTTTGAAAATAATAACTGGAGGTAACTTCGTCCCATCAGCCAAACAAGCTAATACAATGGTAAAATTTGATCTTTCATGTTCAGTAGATAAAATTGATACAGTTTTAGAATCAGATTGTTTTACAGTTGTATTACTTAGAAGATTGAATGACATTGGTATTTCATCCATATTTCCGATAAGGGATAATAGATATTGGTTCTCTTTTCTCAAAAACATAACATAAGATAAAAATTCTGATTGTTTCTCTACATAATTCTCAGGAAGACATTGTGCAATTGTGGTTTTCCTTCTATTTGATAATTTGTGCTGAAACATAAAACTATCAACCCATTTTCATGAAAATTTAGCATTTCTTACATTAGGATATTCTGATTGGAATGATGTTTTTTTGTCAATGAATGTGCTTTAATTTGAATCATAAATTGAGTTACTGTTTTTAATTCATCTCTAGCTTCAGTGAACTATTCAATAAGCTCATCTTCAATATATGAGAATTTAGGACTCGCACCTGTATTTAACTTTTGAACGTAATGGATCACGCTAATAAGCTTATCCTTATTATTAATTCAATCATGAAGCTGTTTAGGTTCTATTCCAAACTTATCTGCAGTTGACCTTTTACTATGACCTTTTTCATAGTAAGTTATTATTATTAACTTTTCCCTTGCAGTCTATTGCCTTTTCTTTTTTTCTGAAACTCTTGCACGTTTAGCCTTGAAATTTCTACATATCATTTTTTTTAAGTTTATTTTTAAGGCAAAAAATGAAACAAAAAATAAAGGAACAAAACCCCAATGATGTAAAGAAAAATATGAAAAAAATGTAGCAATGCTATATATTATAAAACATTTTTATTTTAGCTTTAAAATTACTATATTGGTTAATAAATACGATTTTATGTAATAAAAGGAAAAAAAACTTGCCAAACTAATTAATTAAATTTTCACTTAATTAATTACTTATTACAATAAAATAAATGCAACTTATATAAAGAAAAGGTAATTTTACAATAAATTCTTAAAAAAAGATTGTTAAATCATTTAAAATAATTCAAGAAGAAATTTTTTTTGAACAAAAGGAAGTAAAAAAGGATAATTAAGAAATGCTGAATGTATGCTTTATTTATTATATTTCAAATATGTTGTATATTGTTGCTATGTATCCTATATAAGTTGTCGATATAAACTATATATGTTTAGTTTATACCTTTACCTCTTAATATACGCCTATATGCTGTGTCAGTTATTGGTATAAACTATATAAGATTAGTTTATACTTTGTAATTCCATTACAATAGACACATCTGATATAATACCCCTATTAAAATACCCTACCCTTATTATATCCTGCTTTTTACAAGATATCCATGGGTATGAATCAAATTTTAAATTGAAAAAATTGATTTATACTCGGAGTATCTTGTGCAATGCTTTATGGTAATAAAAAAATTAATATATTTTAATTATAATAAAATTATTATATAAATATAATAACCTTTTCTAAAACTTTTTTATGCTATTTAATAAAATCAATACAATTTATATAGTATGCCATTAAGTATTAATCCATCACTTTAATTCTCCTCTAATAATATCGCAAATTCCAGCTTTTTTTTAAAAAATTATGCCTATATAATATATTTATTAAATATTAATTATTAAAATAAAAAAATAAATAATTTTAATAAAATATTACCTTCTTGATAACTTTTTTTAAAAAAAGTTATAATTGTATTACATCATGTTAAAATTTTGTTTGCAAAAGAAATTTCACATATAACTTTAGAAATTAAATTTATTAAATGAGCAATATAACGAATATTAAGAATATTTGGATATTTTAGTAATTATTTTACGAGAATTATGAATATGTAGTTCGGCATCTAATACTATTACAGAAAAATTTTCAGATCCAATTTGTTCAATTATTTCTTCTATTTTTTTTACTAAAAAATACCAGTATGTTTTTCTTTTGATAAGTTTTTTATACACCACAAATATTCTTTATAACTAAAAATATAAATGAGAAAATTCTAAATTGATTTATTTGCTATATTAGTTCATCTGTCACATGCTTTTTTTTTAAAAAAAGAAAATTTTTTTATTATTTATATACTCACATAATGTTAAATTTATAGAATTCCTTAATTGTTTAAGGATTTGTTTGTTTGCAATAGTTATTTCTTGTGTTAAAATTTGACACGATAGTATTTTTCTCAAAGAAAGTGTATATCCAGACGCAATGTTTTCAAAAATTCTATGAAAAATGGGTTTTTCATAATATGTTAGGATATACTATATACAACAAATGCTTTTAAATGTACTTGAGTAATTTTATGAATTCTTTCTTGAGAAAGTTTTGAGCTTTCATGAAAATTTGTTATTTTTGTTTGTAAAATATGTAAAATATCTTCATTATTATATTTTTGCTTTTTATTTAAAGCTTGTCGATTATATATTAAAAATTCAGCTTTTGCAGTAATTCAGTTTAAACATAATTGTTTTACTTCTATTGTAACTTTTAAACAATCATTAGCTAAATGTCCTTCTATATCCTAAGGCAAACCTTTATGCTAAAAAGAATTACAAAACAAACAGATAGCCTCATAATGACTTTCTGAAACTTTTCTTTCTTATTTAATATAGTTCTCTATATATCAGCTTTAATCTATTACCAGGATTCTTTTTTTGTTTAGTTGCTATTAAAGGTAAAAAAAAGAAGTTCAGTTTGATATTCTTTTAACATAGAAAATTAATCATTAAAAAAACTATGTGTTGTGAAAAGTGACGAAAAGCATATTAATACATATTTAGAAGTTGATCAATTCCTTTTTTAGTTTTAGAGGTTTCAGATATTTCGATAATTTCGTCAAGTATCTGAGGTTTCAGAATTAATGACAATAGTGAAACTACTTTTGCCAAGTTTCAGAGGTTTAGCCTATAGATAGGTTTTGGTTTCGCTCACAATATTATCCTGAAGGGTGTGATTATAGAGGGGTCAACTGTAATATTTAGATATTTTACATCAAATTTTAAGTATAATATTATATTTTAGAAAATATTATAGTCTACTATTTATAGTAATCAAGCTATTATTAAAGTTAAGATCAGGTTTGATTTTTGGTTATTTGATAAAATAGATATAATAATTACTTACTAGTTTATTATTAGATAAATTTTATGGTTAATATTTCATAAATCTTATAATATTAAAATATAGGTGACATTCTTATTTGGCTTGAAATAATCTTTATATTCAAATTTAACAATATCTGAATATTAAATACTTATGTAAGAGCTTTTTCAAAAGATTACATAAGATCTATTCTTATCCAAAGTGATATAAGTAAATGGTTACTATATATATTAACTTATAGAAAGAACTTAATCAAATATTCTGATCTTTAGTCTTTGACTAAACAAGACCTTACTATATATTACCTACCTGCATATATATCTTAACAAAAAAGTAGAAAGTAATAATATTATATAACATTTACAAAATTGTTGGATTATTATCATTTGATATAACTATAATAATTGTATTTTATCATTTTATAAGTACTAATAGCAGTTTTAAATTAGGAATATTCCAATACTTTTGGTAGATAAGTATACTGTATATTATAACAATTATTATTTTAAAACTTTAGTTTTAAATTTGTTTTTTAAAAGAAACTTTAATTTTTTAATATGAAATTTATATCAATAACGTGATTTTATGATATCAGCCACATGCCACTTGATATTTGCATGAAATTAAATTTGTTTAACGTCATACTTTTTGAGGTAAATATTTATTAAATTTCAAAATTTGTGGTAAAGTTTATTGAATAATTCATGAGAAAATGCATTTATGACTTGTTATTTCCGAATGTTATTCAATGAAATGTTATACCAAGCCTATAAGATATGCTAATACATAGCCAGATGAATGAAAAGCCAAGAATAATAATTATAATAATAGTCTGTAAAATTAATCTTCAAAAAACTGCGGCCACGATATAATTCCAAGCCTTGGTTTCTAAGCCAATCATAACAATAAATAATATTATCTCTCGAATGCTTTTTTTTAATGGAGTTTATTTAATAATATTTGCACAGGTTTATTTATTTTTTTTTTATCAAGAAAATTATTTAAAAGGGTAAGGAATTTATGATATAAATCTTAAATATAAATAAAATAATTTTTGATTCAAAAATTTATCAAGCGAAACGTTCTTTTTTAATTTTTTTTTCTTTTTCTAAGTTTTTACAAAGTTCACTTCCTATTTAGAGATGACACAATATTTTGTTGACTTTGAAAATAAAACAGGATTTGGACAACATTTAAATTTTTGTGTATATATACAAATACCAGAACCACCGCATTCAGATAGCGTAGCTTGGTTAATAAGTTCACTTTCTAATGGCGCAGTATCCACAGTTAGTTGGAAAATTGATAGATATTTGGTTGCATTAGCACATTATATTCAAAAAAAAAATAATATAGGAGTTTATCATACTATTCAAGTTGCTACGGTTATACTTGGTTCCGTATGGGAAATAATTGATTATCCGGTAAGAGCGAACGCATTCGTAAGAGATAGGAGAGCTCTTAATCTAACCTTTTCATCCCTTTAGAAGAGTGAGAAAAACCATGAAGAAACCCAAACCATTATTGAGCATGATAATGCAACAGCGTCAAATGATTCAATTAAAATTATAAATACATCAAGAAAAGCAGCAGATTGTGGTATAGGAATGTGGGGAAGCGCGTGTGTATTTGAAAGGAACATAAGAGCAGGTAGTACAACTTCATTCAAAGTAGCACCAGAGTATTGGGTAGGAGTATTTATTACTGAATTACAAAAGGGCCAAGTGATTGACGATACCATTGCTTTAGCTTCAAATAGAATTAAATTTGAAGGTGACAATAATGTTGCCATTATAATTGCTAAAGCTGAAGGTGAAAAACTTATATTAAATGTTGAATATACTAGGAGAAATTATCCTTTTTTAAAATATTTATCGAATTTTTTTATCACCCTTTTTAGAGTCATCTTCATTACCCCTTTCTCTATCTTATTAAGTTGTTTTAGAAAATTGTGCGTTTAAAAATACATCTACAATGATACTTAAAAAAGTTAAATCTCTTTTTGCCATTCCATTTGATAAAATCTCTCGTTTTCTAATGTTTGAAATTCGTCATAAAATAACGCCTTATTGTCTGTATTGAGTTAATTTATCCTTTTAAAGAAATAAAAGATTTTAAATAATATTGTTTAATTTCAATAAATTTCATATGATGATCACGTATGATGACCATTCACGACCAAATTCAACGACCAAAAGTTTTGATATAAAGGAAAAAAAAGCTTTCTTTTTTTAAAAATAAGAATTTATAAAAATAATGACAACTTTAACACAACCTTCGTTAAAAAGAAAATCGTTGCAAGATGATTTGAGTCGACTGCTCGATGATGAAAGATTTTTTGATATTTCATTAAAATGTTCAGATAACGTTGTATTACGCGCTTGTAAAAATATTATTTCTACACGTTCTGAAGTACTCAATGATTATATTTTCAATAAACAAAAAAAAAATAACAATCAAATTGAATTTGATAAAATTAATTCAACCGCGATGAGATTTATCTTGGAATATTTGTATACAGACAAGAATGAACGAGAAGAATTATCAGTTGATAATGTCGTAGAAATTTATTACTCGGCAACTTATTTTGAAATAGGTGATCTTCAATATGAAATCATTGAATTTACTAAGAGATCATTGGAAGATGGGGATGAAGATTTAGGTAAAAAACTTTTATCCGAGTGCATTGAAAAATTCTCACTAAAAACGGATAACGATATGATTCAGCTTTTGGTCGATTGGGTGGCTAAAATTCAATTGGTTCCTAGTGAAGCCGAAAAAGATTCATTATCTTTATTAGGGTTGGAATACCTTTTAGCTAAAACCTATGATACGGAAAGGTCTTTTGCTACTTATGAACTTGAGATTTTCGAATATTCGAGCATCAAGTCAAAGCAAATTCTATCAGAAGGGAAAAAGTTGGATTTAAAGATGGGGGCATATGATTTTAATTATGAATCCAGTAAAATTCAAAAAATTCTTACTGGTTTAGCACCATTACTTAATTTTATTGATTTAAATAGAATAAATCATGAAGATATTGTTAAAAAAATCGAACCTCTAAATATATTTCCTCCAGAAATAATTACAAATGCTTATCGGTACAAGCTCGAAAGAATACATGAAGTTTCACAACCTATCCGTGGATGTTTAATCTTTAAATGGAAAAACTTTGATAATGAAATTTGGCAATTTGAAAACAAATTGTACATAACTAAAAATGGATTTACCTTGGAAGCTGATCCAAGTCTTAAATCGCATAAATCAATAATGGGAAATATAATTATTAAAGGAAAGGGATATCATAAATGGGATATTTTAATTGAAAATCTAACTGATCTTATTTATATTGGAATATGTGAGACAAATAGCCAATTTAATAAACCTTATACTAAAGGTTTTCGTGGTTGGGCTCTTTGTTCGGATGGTTATGTTTATAATGAGAAAACCTGTAAATGGAATAACGCTAAATTTAAGGAAAATGATCTTGTTAGCGTTATTGTTAATATGAATACTAAACATTGTTATTTCGCTGTGAATGGTATTATTCATTATGATGTAATTAGCAATTCTTTTCCTGATCAAGTTTATCCTTTTGTTTCGTTAAAAAAAGGTAGTAAGTTACGTGTACAATCATATTGAAGTTTTATGATTTTTTCGTTTTATTATTTTTTCAAATAAAATTTTCGATTATATCACGTGACTCTACTTTTTTACATCATTTCTTTTGAGAATTTCAAATTACAATAGCTTTAAATTCTGACTTTTCGATTTATATATAGCCCTTAATTTATTTTTATATTTTAAATGTAAAATAAAAAAAAAATAATGTTTAGTTTATTATTTGCATGCTTTCTTTTTTTAAAAAAAAAGTTATTTGAATTATTTAATAGTAAAATCATTATTTGTTATTTCATAAGTAATATCATTAATTAATAAAGTTTGAAAATGATTTTGATCATCAAAATACTTATCATTATCTAATATATTTTCCTGCCTTTCTTTACAAATTTTATGTAAAATACAAGAAGTTAGAATATTTGTTTCTAATGAAATTGATAAAGGATTATTAAGACATTTAAATCTTGATTTAAATTTTCAAATGCTTGTTCTACACTGGTACGAATTTGTGAATGTTTAATATTATCCATCCAACATCAGTATCAGATATAAAAATCGTATATTAGGCAATTTTTTATTAAACTATATTTACTAACTACTAACTATTACATTAATTATGAATAGTACAATTTTTGTAATAAGTTTTATTAATAATAGTTGATTTTTATGTTTTCTTTTATTATTATTTATATTGAAATTTAAATATTCTTGCAAAACATTACTAAACTCATTACTTAATTATAGTATATAATATAATAATATTAAAGTTAATATTTAATATTTTAAGATAGAAATACAAAATATAATATACCTTTTTTATCTTGTTATATTTCATCATTAGTTATTTCAGTTAATCTTTAAATAACTGAATTAAAAATTTTCTTTTTTTCTCTTTTGTTACTTACTTTAAGATAATTACAAACTCCAGCTGATGAACTATGACTTGAAATTACTATTATCTCAACTTCTTTATTATTAGCATCAAATATTGATTGAATAGCTGTATTTTATTTCTGAATAATTTGAAATATTTCTTCCAGCTATATTAAAGATGAGGGATAAAAAACAAAAAAGCAATTAATAAACAGCTGAAATTATATTAAAACATAGTGAAGTGTATAACAAAATCCTAAATTAATAAACGGCTGAAATTATATTAAAACATAGTAAAGTGTATAACAAAATCCTAAAATCTGAAATTAATCAAATCTATATTAAAACATAGTAAGAGGTATGACGAAATTATTTTGAAGGAATTTCGGCAAGCATCTTTAAGCTATATCAATATTACATGCAATACAAATTTTCTGAAATATTCTTCTAATTTTTTTTTCACCAAGTACTTTATTATAATACCATTTTCCTTTTAAAATTGCTAATAAAAAATAAAAAAAAATATAATTACCTGATTTATTTGTTAAAATAAAATTTCTTAGTTATATAATTTAAAGGTCTTATAGAAATATACAATATTCCTTTGAAAATAAGCAACATATTTTTGCTATATTGTTGCTTATTTTCGGGTATATTTGATTAACTTATAATGTACAATCTAAAATCTGTTAATTTGTCAATAAATTCTGTAATCATTGATCGCATTAATCATCAAATGTTACATAAAATCGCGAAAATTTTTTTTATTCAGCTAAAATGCTACATTCTACAAAAAAAATTGTTAAATAAAAGGTTATAAAAGTTAATAAACGTATACAAACTTCATATTCTATCAAACAAAAAATACAAGTCATTACATATGTAAAAAAAACATGGTTACATTAAGACAGCAGAGCACTTTGACATCAATTGTAACATGATAAGACGTTGAATAGCTGCTAGTTCAAACTGGACAATTGAAACAAAAGGAAAAGTAAGAGGCTTAGCTCTGAACGAGGAGCTTTTTATCCTAAAGCTAAGAAGAGGTTTTATGAATAGATTATAGAACAAAGAAAGCAAGGTCTTGTGGTTACCTATGCAATAATATGAAGTAGAATGCTGGAAATTTTAAAAGAACCAAATATGGAAGTTCTTTATGGTAAATCAAATTTTAAAACATCTTACCGCTGGTTAACTGCTTTTATGAAAAGATATAGGTTAGCATTGTGGAGAATAACTAGAATATTTTAGAAGCTTTCTAATCAAATTAAAGAGTAATTAGAAAAGTTTCACTAATTTGTTACTAACCTAAGAATTGAAAAGTTATTTGAATTAAGGAATATTTATAAAATGGATGAAACATCTGTTTGGTTTGATATGGTTGGTAATTTTATCATCAATCTAAAGGTGAAAAAATAATCCACTATTCATGTAATAAGCAATGAAAAAAATAGGTTTACAGTTGTATTTACATGTACTGCAGGTAAGTTTTTCTTTTTTTTTATAAAATCGAAATTTACTCACTAGTACTATTGATTTATTATTATAGATAGAACCAAACTTCCTTCAATATGTATTTTCAAAGGAAAGAAAATACCACGCAGAGAATAAATTCCTCCTGATGTTATTATTTGATTCCAAAAAAATGGTTGGATAAACTATAATTTAATGTTAAAATATGTAGATTATCTTAATGATATAAGAATAAAAAACAGGTCTCAAGGAAATCCAGCAATGCTTGTATATGATTCTTTTAAAGATTATTTAGAAAAATCAGTAAAAAAAAAGTTTCATAAAATTGGCTTTAATCTTACAGTAATTCCAGGTGGATTGGTTGACTAGCATTTGTCAGCCACTGGATGTTACAATAAATAAACCATTTAAGAATAATCTTCGTAAAGAATAGCATATTTGGATGACTGATGATGATGCTGAAGAAACTGCTAAGGGAAACCTTTATCACGTTAGATTTAGAGATATATGTTTGTGAGTTAAAAAGTCTTAGGAAAGGATTCCTGATGAATTATTATAGAATCCTTTAAAACTTGTAAAATATCGATTAATTTAGATTTTGATTTAGAGATTCTTGATAAAGATAATATCGATAGTAGTGATTAGGCTTTCACAATTCGATTTGATATTTGAATATTTGATTTGAAAATTAATCAAATACAAATTCAAATTTATATTTGATTTAATTTGATCAAATTCAAATCAAAGAATGATTTATTTGATCAAATTCAAATTAATGTTTGATTCAATTCGATCAAATTCAAATCAAGTATTTAAATATTTGATTTGATTTGAATCAATAGTAAAGCTATCTTCAAAATTTCAGGAATGCCTCTTACTAAGAAAACCATAGTAAAAAGCATCTCTGCAGCTTCAAAAATGCCTTTTTACTAAGAAAACTATAGCAAAAAGCGCATCCACAGCTTCAA